CGGCGCCTGCGTCAGTCGGCGGGTTGGTGTTTGGGCCAGGTTGTCAGGTCGGCGCCTATGTTAGTCGACGGGTCGGTGTCTAGGCCAGTCGGTGGGTCAATGTCTAGGCCAGGTTGTCAGGCAGGAGATCTTCCTGCGATACGCCAAACTACTCCTGTACCGAGCTACCCTACAAGGGGCGAGCTGCTCGGGGGAGCTATGCTGAGCTGCTTGTGGCGAGCTTTGCTGAGCTGCCTGGCTTCTTGGTGGCGAGCTCCTTGGAGAGCAACCTAGCTCCTTGGCGAGCTCCTTGGTGGCAAGCTCCTTGGAGAGCAACCTAGCTCCTTGGCGAGCTCCTTGGTGAGCTCCTTGGTGAGCTACTGAGCTCGCGGGGTACGCCGCTATGGTTCATCGGTGGGCGTCTTATGGGCGGCTAGGTCGGCTAGATCAGATCATGTGCCAAGCCGATCTAGGTCGGCCAGGTCGCGCAGGCCGCCCGTAGCCTGCGTGCAGGTCGCGCTAGGCCGGCTAGACCGGTGCCCGGGTGGGATAACAACTTGGTAAGTTGTTGCCTGGGTGTTTGCCTATTTGTCACGAGGTGCCACGTGTCGCAATTTCACTGGAGGGCCAAATCTACCCTCATAAGGTATCAAATAAAAAGACATTATTTGAAGCACCATTTTCATTCAAAGTTAGCAATGCACCATTTGAAGGCTATGTTTGGTTTGAAGGAAAAGGTAGGGAAAGAAAAGGAAAGGAAAGGTATAAAAAGCTATACAAAGTTTGTAAAGGTTTCTTTGCTTTTCCCTTCCTTTCTCTATTTTTTCCTTCAAACCAAACATAGTTTAAATGACTCATTTTCTCAGAAAATGGCGTCCATGCCAAACACCCACATATTAATTCAGCGCTACATGTGTTCCCAGTTGATTCTTCATTCTTCCTTCAGGGTCAATTGGAATTTTGGAAATGGTGTTATGGGAATGAAATGATTAGGATAATTCTAGGTTGACACTTGACAGTCAGTGGGAAAATTCCGAACGATTCTGGCTGTCTCACCGAACAAAAAAAAGAGAGTTGATTCCAAAGGAAGTGTACTTTGGATCTGACGGCTTTCCTGACTTGCCAGTTGCCACGTTTCGTTTTGTGTATCAAATAAAATAGAGTTTTTCAGCACCGTCCAAATGTTTGACCTCGTTAATCCAATTTCCCACGATGGGACCCATTGAGTGGCGATCCAGAGAGGACGGTTGATACAACGAATATATTATACAACAAATATGATGGTCGTGTAAAACCAACTTCCCATGTGGTGGTCCACCTACTCAATGGTACTGATGGCCGTGAGTCATGTTTTCATGATATCGGGGTTCAATTGTTCGGTAAGACAAATATAGCACATCATGAGAAGATGAGCTCACACACCAGCTCACACAGAGAAAGACAAGAGGTCATGGTCTAGGCGATCGAGATCTAGCTTGCGCGTTGTGCGTATTCTAGCAAATCCAGTCTGTACTCGGCATATGTGAATTGTGATCGGGACCTCGATAGTCGATACCCCGTCTCCCATCTTTTCCTTGTTATGTAGCCGTCGGATGAACTGGGGTGGAACCCAATTCGGTCGTCTGGCCCTCCAAAAGGAATCTTACGGTTGGACAGTTCACGTCGTGAAACTGGAAAGATGATGAGGTTGGATGGGGTGCATCAGGCTTATTTTTAGCACAGGACCCAGTTTTCTCAGTTGGTGGAATTACAGAACAATGAGCTGTCATGTGTTTTACTGAATTAAATAAAGGAGAATGAAATGTAAATTTCTTTCCGTTTTTGGAATGTCAGCTCAGCATAGTGCCCTTGATCCACCACTCTTTTTCGGAAATTCCATTGGTATCCCCTTTCACACTTCGATCTTCTTCACTGAACCAGTCAACCAGCTGACCAAGCCCCAAGGCGAGACTGCGAGAGTTGGATCAATGGATACATCTATTATATTAAGCAAAAGAAGAGGGCATTTTTGTCAACGTAGAAAAAACTGTGGGGTTTATCTTTTCTTTGCCTTAACTCAGAGGGGTTTTCAGCTGATCAGTGTTTAGTTGTGAATATTTCTTTCCTCGTTTTCTTTCCCTTTTTCTTTTTTTCTTTTTCTTTATTTTCTTTGTTCCTTGGATTTATGGCTTCTGAGTCTCACTCTCAGTCCCTCACTGTATCATCTTTGATATCTCCTTCTGTAGTTTCAGCCTGAGATGATTCGATCTCTTCATTGTTTCATCGGCGAGATTTTCGGCAGAAGGGATTAACAGAAGGCATTCGGTTTTGAATTATTTGATCTCTTCATTTACTTCATTATTATTGTCCTTCCGGTCGGAATTGATGAAAATGCAGAGAAATTGGCGTTTTGAGCATTTTGGATGGAAAGATTTCAGTTCTAAGAAGCGGTAGAATGGTGTTAAACGCCTGGCAAATGAACATATACCGGGGAATGGTCATCTTTTGGAAACTGTTAGGGTTTTCTGCACGTTCCGGTGTGTTATTTGGCGGATTTTGTTCGAGAAATCTTATCATGCAAGGTTGAATTTCTGGTGGAATATCAAATACTCAGGGGACGTAGGAGTTCGCCTTCTTCTCAGCTGAGTTCTTCGGAATTTGGATCACTCCATCTTGAGCAAAGCTGAATAATGTCGCCATTGCTAGAGATTTAAGACTTACTTAGACCCTTTTACCTGCTTTCCACTGAAATCTGTTTATTGCATCACGAAGATCAGGTATTTTATGTGTTTGCGTTTCTTCTCTGCGGCGGAAGATCTGCCACTGAAACTGGGAGAAACTTCAGAAAATAAGTTTGGCGTTTCGACCGTTTGAAGAATCTTGCATTGGTTGGATATCCTTTAAGAATCTTTGCATTATTCGAGCTGGAGAGAAATGCTGAATACTCACGATTCTGGTTTCCTTTGAATGATGATGGCTGTGTGATCCGCTTCTGTTTTATCTGTAAGTCTCTTTTACAAGATTCTCAAGGAAAGAAGTTCTAAGGCGCAAGATTGTAACGGCTTCGAAGCTTCAAAGCTGCTTTATATTATACCTTGTCAGAACCCTTTGCTTTACTTAGTACCCGTTGGTGTCATTTAACTGAGTTTCTTTAACATAATCGAATATCCTTTGTTTCGTTTGAAGTACAAGAAGTGTGATTTACAAGCTTCTTAAGATCTACTGCTCGTCTGGAAAATCTTTGCTTCATTCGGTAACCGTTGGGGATCTGTTTTAAGAAGTTTGGTAGTTTTAGCTAGGCTAGCTCAGTATTAGGAAGCATTGATGGGGCTTCTTCGAAGTCTCTCAATGCTTCTCCCCTTATTGCTTTGGATCATGTGGATGTCGGTTGTTAGAGCTCAGTTGCCTGTGGATAAGGAAAGAGCTGCACGTTCATTGGATGCACTTCTGCAAGACTACGCTTACCGTGCTTTCCCCTCGGTTCATCTACGAACAGGCAAACTATATGATGGGGAGCCCCCCTCGAATTTAACCGGGATTAAGATTTCAGCAATGCGGCTCAGGAGTGGTAGCTTAAGAACTAGAGGTGTTAGCCGCTTCAAAGAATTTGAGATCCCAACCGGAGTTGCTGTGCAACCTTATGTGGAAAGGCTTGTTCTGGTTTACCATAACCTGGGCAATTGGTCTTTGGTCTACTATCCACTACCTGGCTACACTTATCTAGCTCCAGTGGTGGGTCTCCTTGCTTACGATGCATTGAATTTATCAGCAACAAATTTACCCACATTGGATATAACAGCATTAGATGATCCCATCTCAATTAATTTTTCGGAAGTGAAATCAGCACCAAGTGGATACACTGCAAAATGTATTTGGTTCAACTTGCAAGGTTTGACAGAGTTCAGCAATGTTACATCAAATAACATCTGCTCTACGAAGAAACAGGGCCATTTCTCCATTGTGGTTGAATATACTGCTCCACCTTCTCTAGCACCAGAGTCTCCTCCAACTGGTGGAGGGCCAAATGAGGGGCCAGGAAAGAGAGGTAATGGGAAGGGCAAGTCAAAGGTGTGGAAGATAGTAGGGTCTGCTCTTGGTGGATTTGCATTGTTGGTATTGTTGGCTTTATTGGTGTTGTGGGTTCGGAGGTACAAGCACCGGAAGAGGATGGATCGGATGGAGAAGGCTGCTGAAGCAGGTGAAGCCTTGCAAATGGCCTCAATTGGGAACACAAGAGCACCAGTAGCCATGGGGACAAGGACACAACCAGTCCTGGAGAACGAATATGTGCCTTAAATTTTGTCCATTTGTACAAGCAATATCTATTATTCATGTTCAGTTCAATTCATGTGTTTAGATATTTTTATCACCCATTCTTTCTGCTATTTCTTCCCTGTTCTCTCCCTTTTCTTTATTTTTTTTTTTTTATTTCAATGTATGCCTCCTACTTGTTGCATAGAGTAATACCTAATTCTTGTTATGAGTTATCTAATATGTTGATGTTGATTTGCTTAAAATTGAATGCATGAACATCAAAGTGATGGATAAACTGTTTGATCATAGCTGGCCAATCTTACTTATAGTTGATTATTGATGTTATATTCTTCTAGATGGATACCATTCTGTAAGTTCAATATTGTAGGGAATCCTACATAGTCTACTACTACAGACTGCCTTTCTCCATTGTGGTTGATTACAGTCCTTTTTTGTATAGAGGATGACCTTGACCATCTACATGGTCCTTTTGTTTATGGAAACTCCATGCCAACACAGCATTGATTGGAAGAAGGCCTAAAAGAATTCCTCCAGTATTTGTTTTTTTCTTTTTTTATGTGCTATTTCTACTTCTATTGTCACATATACTATTTTAAGTGTGGAATTAATAGTATAAAGGCATCTGTTATACTATTTTAGAAGTTAGAGTCTTAGAGATAAACATAAACAAATAAAAACTAAAATAGAACCTTGTAATTGGATTAGTTGTTAATCAAGGGGTTGTAATGAGAGGTGGGTTTTGGAGCTATTCCTAGGTTCCTTCCTATAATCATTTCTAACCCTGTCGTTTCTGGTTCTTTTTGGATTAATAACGGAAATGTTATTAAAAAATAGAAGTACAAAAATAGAAATTATGTATGTTTGGCTGTTCACCAGACTTATCTAGCCTACATGTTTTTGGGTGTCTTTGCTTTGTTCATCTTCCTCCTCATGAACGTACTAAGTTATCTACTCAATCTGTTATGTGTGCCTTTATGGGATATAGTCCAGATCACAAAGGATTTCTTTGTTATGATCCTTTTGCTCGTCGTATTTGTGTTTCTCGAAATGTTGTTTTCCTTGAACATATCTCCATTTTTGCTGTTGTTGCAAAGTTATTTGCTCCATCTATTTCTGTCTTGCAGAATTTTGACTCACAGAATGCTTCTCCTCCTGCTGGTGTGAAGGACTTTCTTGTCTTCTCTCACAAAAGATTATGCGCCCCAGATCCTACGCCTCCAACCTCACTTCCTCCTGGCTTGGATATACTGCTGTTTCCTCTACGAAGAAACAGGGCCATTTCTCCATTGTGGTTGAATATACTGCTCCACCTTCTCCAGCACCAGAGTCTCCTCCAACTGGTGGAGGGCCAAATGAAGGGCCAGGAAAGAGAGGTAATGGGAAGGACAAGTCAAAGGTGTGGAAGATAGTAGGGTCTGCTCTTGGTGGATTTGCATTGTTGGTATTGTTGGCTTTATTGGTGTTGTGGGTTCGGAGGTACAAGCACCGGAAGAGGATGGATCGGATGGAGAAGGCTGCTGAAGCAGGTGAAGCCTTGCAAATGGCCTCAATTGGGAACACAAGAGCACCAGTAGCCATGGGGACAAGGACACAACCAGTCCTGGAGAACGAATATGTGCCTTAAATTTTGTCCATTAGTACAAGCAATATCTATTATTCATGTTCAGTTCAATTCATGTGTTTAGATATTTTTATCACCCATTCTTTCTGCTATTTCTTCCCTGTTCTCTCCCTTTTCTTTAATTTTTCTTTTTTTTTTTTCAATGTATGCCTCCTTCTTGTTGCATAGAGTAATACCTAATTCTTGTTATGAGTTATCTAATATGTTGATGTTGATTTGCTTAAAATTGAATGCATGAACATCAAAGTGATGGATAAACTGTTTGATCATAGCTGGTCAATCTTACTTATAGTTGATTATTGATGTTATATTCTTCTAGATGGATACCATTCTTGTAAGTTCAATATTGTAGGGAATCCTACATAGTCTACTACTACAGACTGTGTATAAATGAGCTGGGCTAGGTCTCAACTCAAACTTTCATTCATCCATTGGGCGTAGGCCAATGATGAGAACAAGGTACAGAGTGCAATTGGTAATGAATATCAATTTGAATCAGCAATTGGCTTGGCTTAATGTCAGCATCAAATTTTGTTGATCAGTCAAAGTTTGTTGTTTGAATGCTTGCTACTTGACCAATTTATCTTATTATAACATAAGATAATGGATAATACTTTAGTTCCACTTAAATATTCTGCTTTAGGGGGTAGCTCATAAGATAATGGCTTTTCTTATATGAGGCCTCTGTCTCCTGCTTTCCTTTTTCTTTGCTGACTTTATTTGAAAGCTTTAAATGCCTGATTGAATGCATTATTGTCCTGCTGATCTGATCCAATCATTTTTTTTGAAAAAGATGGTAACTTTATTAATGAAATAGAGGGTACATAAGATGATGTACACAGAAATTACAGCTCAAATGTTAAGTAGGGAGAAAGCTATCACTAAACAGGAAATCCCTGTGAACACCAGCTTTTGCTAGACCATCCACATCAGAGTTTAGCTCCCTAGGGGTCCAACCCAGCTGTGCATTTAAGTTTAATATGATCTGATCCAATCATATTATGGTACTTGTGTCTACATGCCTGGTGGGGCTGTAGTGGATATATTTCTTGTGCTTCAACAAGGTTGGTTGGTTTTGAAAACCCACCTCCGTCCAAGACTTGCCTGAAAACTTGTTTCGACTTTTATGGTCTTTGAAAGAAAGAAGAGGACTAATAGGGTCTTTCATGTGCTGTGGGGAAGAGTGTTGTCTCTCTGAATCTTTGGGTTTTAGCCCCACAAGAGTTCAAATGAATCTCCCTGAACCTGAATGGCATTGGTAAGAAACCTCAATACATTTTTAAATTCTTGCATGGCAGATGGAAGACCAATTCATAACCGCACTCCTCCCCATCTTCTAATGCTTGATTTTTTGTCAAGCTTTTTTTTTGTGGAAGCTAGTAAAGCAATTATCTTTCTACTCCTAAAGCTGTGAGTATCCTGTGAAATCATTTGGCTTAGAGAAGAATCTCTTTACAATAGCAAATCATAATCTATAAAGTGACTCAGTAAGCACCATAAGATGGAGCCAAATTTCAGTAAGTGGCTCTTGGAGACTGGTTAGTTTTTTGAGTGTGATTATAGAAACTATTGTCTTCCTATAAGCTAGTACTAAGGAGATTTCCAGGACTTTGAATGTAACTGCTGATGGACTTGCCGGAGCTGGATTATAGCCATCTTTTTTTGGGTCTAGCATTGTAATTCTTCTTTTGCGTGCCTTTTGCAACCCTCTTCATGGTTACCTTTTCTCGAAAAAATCAAAGTACATGGTTGGAGGATTTCAATCTCCTCCAACATTCATATGGCAATTGACAAGATGGCCAGTTTTCTTAGGCTTTGTCATTATTAGAAAAGTGATATAAGCTTAACAAACTGGCACTGATATGAAATTTAGTCCAATACAGGTAGAGAAGGTTGTGACATCAAATGTATTATTGGTGCTTGTGGCATAGAGAACCATTGAGCATTTAAATGATTTAATTCTTTATCATAAATTCTGCTATGAATGATCAATTTGAGCCCCAATTTCACTGTGTGGCAGGTGTCCAAGACTCAAAGTAAAACTCAGTTACTCTCTCATGTATGTATATTGTATCATTCCTCATGTTTAATGGAACACCTATCACACAGTAGATGGTTAGTGAAAGAAGTGCATGAAATCTGGACTCTATCAATTATTTACAAATCTCCAATCTTTTTTCTTCTATGTATATATTCTTTGTCAGTACCCAAAATTAGATCTATATCTATATTTATTCGAGCTCAGCTCAGCAGAAAAATATCAGGCTTGAGTTTGGACTTGAGCTCGATTCGAGCTAGAGACATGAGCTCAAATTCGGCCCAACTCAAAAGCTCATATGTTTGAGCTTGATAGTGAGCCAAGCTTCATATTAAAAAATAAAAATAAATTATACATGTAAAAAATTCTTTATTATTATATTATGTATAAAATTAGGAATACTATATTGAATATAAGCTCGATTAGGCTCGCGAGCCTCATGAGCTGAGCTTCATTAGGCTCTAGCTTGGCTTGAAACCCGGTTTAACCCATGCCAAATAGAGCTTTTCGCAAATTGAGTTTGAATAGCTTGTGAAAAGCTTAGTTTTTGTCCACCCCTACCATTTTTTGATCAGCAAATATCTATATTTATACATTTATGAAAATGTATAAACTCTCTTAATACATTCTTCATCTTTTTCCATGCTTATGATTTCTCATACATAAATTGCCCTTTCTTTCTTCCCCTCAGCCCCCTCACACATATACTCCCCTAAGTCTCTCTCTCTCTCTCTCGCATTCACACAAATATATTGTCAATGTATTCTACTATTCTATGATTCTTGCGTATTATTCTCATCACTGATTTTAAAATCTTAGTTTCACGAGTTAATCTTATTTTTATTCTCCACCTTTATTTATTTATTTTGTTCCTTATTTTTTGTATGTTGCCTAATGCTTTGCTTTTTATTCATCTCCAAAAATATTCTTGAACTACATCACCAGAAGAGAGCCAAAATTGGACCTTGCTCACTTACCTTCATTCAAAGCTAGCAATGCACGGATTCTAAGTAGACCCTAAATGTGGTTACTATTTAAATCTAAATGGAAGACCCTTTAGAATAAACTTACTGTCATAGCTAACGTCTTTGTCTGGGTAAATATTCATAAGCATTTCAAATTGGTTTCTTCAGTATCTGCATTGAGACATACATGTCACACACAACATAGCCAAACTTTGCATTCTGGTAATCCTATTGTCTTCCTATTATCATTTTTATGATGGAAGTTTCTGAACTCAATAAGTGGAAGAGTTTGAATAAGTGTCTGCTCAAAAAAGGTGGACAAGTTGCAACAGAAACCACCATATATTACTAAATGTCATCAGGCCAGAGCAAAATGAGATGTGTGGAGCTGGGCTGCTGAAGATTATGGTGGATATGCATGCAAATGAGGTTATCCTCAGAAACCAAATATCTTGGAATATGTTTTACTTGGAATGACTATTAAGTATTAACATGACCATAACTTGTTATGTATGCAAATGATTGGTTGGAAAAAGTTTAAATGTTTTGGTTTTCATTATTGTATCCATATTTTCGAATTTAGCTGAAAATGATCATTATCTTGTAGAGCTGATGGCGTAAGAGTCATAGTGCTGCCATGTTCATTTTTAAGCTGGATAAGTGTCGAGATGACATATGATGCACTCACTATTATACTTTGAACTTTGGATATGATGGAACAGTTGATAATGCTGTAAATTTCACATCTGAAACTTGTATTGATATAAATTTAAGTTGACATGTACATAGTTAATTTCTGTAGTTACTAATTAGAAAATATATTTCCATTGATATATTTGATAATATGCTTGTATACTTAGGCATATAACACATTTAATAATGAGAAAGGGGCATAATCATGCTTATAACTACTCTGCAAGCCTGACAAATATCATCATCCTTATCTTGTTGAGCTTTAGAGCAATTTTCTCTGTTTGGAAAATATTATGTTTCATATTTCCAAAGAAAAGGGGAAGAATAATGTGGCGTTGTGTGAGAGCTGCTGTTGTTTGGACTATCTGGAAGAAAGGAGTTCTAGAATATTTTCAGGGAAGGAGAGGAACAAGGAAACCATTCAGGAGGTGATTTGCTCCAGGGTATTCCATTGGCTTAAATCAGTGGATCTCTTCAACAATGTCTCAGTAGATGATTTGTCAAGAAAATGGAAAGAAATTGCCTTTTCAGCCCCAGTGCAAGAGGTATCAGTTCCAGCTTGGTCCCCTCCTCCAAGTGGATTTTACAAAATGGATTTTGATGGAAGCAGCATTGGCAACCCAGGGCCTTTGGGTATTGGGGATGTGTTAAGGGATGGGAAAGGGAAAATAAATGCTTTGTTATCAGGCCCAATTGAAGAGGGTGACTCTCTCAGAGCTGAGATTTTGGCAGCTTTAGAAGGTGTTCAAAGAGCCAAGGACTTAAACTTGAGGAAGCTGATCATGGAAGAAGATTCTAAGGTGGTGGTAGATTGGCTGAAGGGAGACAAAACCGACCTGTGGATGTACAGCAATGAGAAGAAGAAAATTCAAATGACTGACAAAAGACATGGAAGTTAAAGTAGCTTGGGTTAAGAGATGTGCAAACTCCTTTGCTGATGGGTTAGCAAAGCAAGGGGTACATAGGGAGAACTTGTTTTGGGTTCAATTGTAATTTTTCTGCAATGTTTCTTGTTTGGGGGAGATAAGAGAGGTTCTCTCCCATTTGTATTCCTTTTTTCTAATTAATGAAATCCCTTGTTATTGATAAAAAAAGGATATTATGTTTCACTGAGATGCATGACTTAGAATGGTAGGTTCAAATTTTGGATTTCAAATAGGCTGAGTACTATCTGTCAATTCTAACTCATTCCTGTTAAAGCTTACTCGTTTTTCTTGTATTTTCTCCACGTACAATTACTATTTATTTTGTATTATTTTTTCTCGTCCATGTTGTTCAGTGTCCCTTTCTGAATTATGTCCTGTCCCATCTAATGTACTTGGTTTAATGATTTGTTATATAGTTGCATAATAGGAATTCAATGTTCTTGGTTGGAATAGATAAGGTCCTACTAGCCTTATGTTGGCACTGCAAATTAATTGATCAGCTATTACAATGGCAATAACAATTTATTTTTTTATTCCAGAATTTTACTGTTAAATCTAAACAATCTGCATTTACTTAGATGGAAATGCCAGAGATGGATGGCTTGAAACAATATAGATGTTGTAGATAATGATTGATCAAAACCCATAGATGTTCTATTAAATTTGAAGAGTTCTTTATATCAAATATGTATTAAATATTTCAAGTGTTAATTGACATATACTAATTTTTCTATTTATGTTTGCAAAACAAAGAAGCATATGCAAAATGTTTGATTTACTTCAGATTTTTTGCTTTTCATGTTGAAAAGGCCAACTATCTTCTCCCATTCAATTTATTTCTCATTTTAAATAGTGGATAAATTTGTGCAGAAGCCGATATTCCTCTCTGCAGTCAAATTCACCATTTCAAAAGTTGGGCCAATTTTGTTATTTTTCTTGTATCTACTTATCTTATCCTTTGTTGGTGAAGTTAATCTTTATGTGGCAATTGCTTTTGATATAATTGTCAAAAGGTTGGCAGGGTGGAAGAGTAGATATTTATCTCTTGGTGATTTGATTACTTTGATTAATATGTTTTAGCTACTTTACCAATCTACTATCTTAAAAGCCCATTAGTCAATGTTGGTCCCAGCTATCTATGGTCTTGGGAGGAGTAGACTGGATACGGTTCTAACCTTTGCCATCTTTTTTGCACGGAGTGACAGTTCTCAGGCTCAAACCTGCATTCTCACACTTGCCAGCTTGAGATTTTACTATTACACCAAGTAAAGGCCCCTACCAATCTACTATCTATTTTTATTAAAATTTCCAGCAAAAGTGGGTAGATTCTATTGGAATGATCCAAAGCAGTGTTTTTAAAAGGCATGGGAGGTGTGCGCTTGGAGGCGTATGCCTCAGGTGCAAGAGGCATACGCCTCATGTGCTTTTTTCATGAGGCGTGCTAGAGGCGTATGCCTCATGCACATCTTATATAAAAAGACAAAAAAGAAAAAAGAAAAAAGAAAAAAAAAAGTAAAGGAAAGGAAAAGAAAGGGAAGGGAAAGAAAAAGAAAGAGAAGAAAAAAGAGAAAAAGAAAGAAAAGGAAAGGAAAGGGAAGGGGAGAAAAGATAAGGGGAAAGACCCCCCCCTTTCAACTAATGTTCGGGAGGCTTATGCCTATTGCATTCTGAACTACGCCTCAAGCCTCTAGGTAGTGGGACACCTCGCATCATGCCTCTGTGTTTTAAAACATTGATCCAAAGAGATTCTTTTGTAGAATGACAGTTGGGAGAGGAGGAAGTTTAATTTAGTTTAATGGGATAAGTTGTGCAGGCCAAAAAGGTATAGAGGGTTGGGTTTTAGAAGAATTAGAATATTGAATAAAGCATTACTTGGAAAATGGATGTGGAGGTTTGGGGTAGAAACAGAAACTCTTCAGAGGATTATTGCTTGTTTAGTATAGGGTTGTTAATTTAAATTGGGATTCTAGAGAGATTTGATCCTCATGGAGTGAGTTTTTAGAAGGATGTTATGCTCTTTCATCATGTATTTTTGAACTTCACAAAGTTACAAGGTGGGGGAGGGTTCGAAAATCCATATATGGAAATGAGTTGAATAATAATGATATCACTATTAATCAATATTTCGAGTTTAGAAATGGAAAGATGACTTGGTTCCAAAGAGGATCATTGTTGAAAAGACAGATTGATAGTGCATTTTTCTGTTCAGAAAAAGTTGAAGACAAGAACATTTCTCCAGGAACTTCGGATAAAAGACAGTAGAAGGAATGGAAAAAAATGGACATTTTACTGTAAAATCCTTTTATAAATTGATACACAATCAGGTGGAAGATTCTAACCTTAGAGGTATTTGGAGTAATCCTGTTCCTCCTAGGCTGCATTCTTACCATGAACCATCCAAAGAGAGGAGAGACGTTCATTTGACAAGTTTATGCTACATGTGTAATTGTAATGAAAAAGATGCTAGACACCTGCTTCTCTTGTGCAGGATCCAATTTTCTATGGGCTGTTTTTTTTTTCTCAAGTCATTAATGGTTGGCAGCTGGAGCATCCTCAAGATATTTTCTTCCTCTTGGTCTTTTCTTCAAGGAAGCAAGTAGGCAAAGATATTATGGAGTTGTGCCTTTTGCAATTTGTTGGAGTACAGGGGAAGGAAGAATAGAAGAATATTTGATGTAAAACAGAAAAATAGAAGAATATTCTGGAGTTGTGCCTTTTGTATGGACATAGGGAACATGATTTGGATTGGATTTTAGTTCATTGAGAATTTATGAACGTGTTGAGATCTTATTTAGGCTCGATCTTTTGGTCTACTATGGAATTATCGGAACTCAGAAGTTTTTATTTAGTGTATGAATTGTTTCATTTTATCTGTTTTCTGTTGTTTCATTGATGCATGTTGTTCTGTGGAGCAGCATCTCATCACCTTTTATTACATTGTACTCTTCTTTTTTTAATAACATTTTATCCTACAGTTAATCTCAACGAGGTTTGTTGCTTGTGAATTATGGATATTTTGTTTTCCTTTTTTGCTTCATGTAGGAGTTAATTGGTGCTTGGGCTAGAATCAGAGGATTTGAATTGTTCTGAAATCTATTAGCGAGAGAGTTTAATCTCTTCAAGTTTATTTGTTTCAGTAGTCTATAGTTAATTTTGAGAACATGGTCCAATGAGTTGTCTCATGGGAGGTTTCTTGCATAATTTTGCCATTTAAGATAAATATTCTAATATTACATGAGAGGTTTATGAAATATGGATATTATTTTTTTCTTTGTTTTGTTCTGTTTTTATTTATTTTATTTTATTTTTTTGGCGGGTGGGGGGGTGAAGGCAATGGTTCGACTATTTATTAAGTTTACACGTTTTTTCACTGAAATGGTTTGTTGGTAGATATATGTAGAAAGAATTTCTTCATTTGAACCGATATATTTAATATATGTAAAGGTTAAAATCATTGTTTAGACTTAAGGCTATGAATTATGATGTCAGTTCCCATAATCAAGGGTTGCTAAAGAAAGCAGCTGTCAAGAATTAATCTGCCATCCATCTTGCTTTGGGAAATTGGGGTTGTAGTTGTGTAAGTCGGGTTGGCCCAAATTAACAGTTTACATTAGATTTGGGCTTCAAATCCCGCCTGCAAGGTGTTAATAATCAGCTGGTTGGTAAGGTTTCTATTGATTGTAGCAGAGACTTGGGGTCAAACCCCGCCTGTACTTGGGTTAAGGGAGCCATGGGTTGGGGGATGGGCTCTTGCATTATCTATTCCTCTCAAGAATATTACTCCCAAGAGAGTTAAATGGATGACTTGGCTTCCACACGAAATGGGATMTGCTCCTCACACAGGGCGCCTCACACGGACCTCATATACACATCTCACCATATATGCACTGGGAATATCTCCTGTGAATAATAATGTATAAATACGAGAAATGTTCCCAAGTGGGATGTGCATGTGAGGTGCCCGCAGATCCTGTCTCCTTCCACACCCCCACTAAAATAAATACATTCTGATTGAAGCTTAATCGGCATAACGTCATGGAGTGTGACAACAGAACACTAACCAACCACAGCATCATTTCCTTTTTATCGGAGACTAAAGAATTCCTTTTGAGAAAATTAGATGTTTTTTTTAACTAATTAATTTGGTGCTTTTGTTAACTAAAGATTGGTTAAAAACTTAACTTGAATTTGAAACTTAAAAGTTATTTAAAACAATGATAATATCTCTCAAAGTATTCATTTCCTAGACCTAGAATTAATGCTATCCTCTCGAATAGGGCTGGTTGGTTTATTTATTTTTGGACAAAATAATATCAAGACATTAAAAAAGATACTTGATACTTATGGGTGCAATAATTTCAAAAGGAAATGATTTGAGAACACCCCATTTGTTTACAAAGGGAGTAGACACCTGATCATTAGTCATAGAGTATATGTTTTGAAAGGTCAAATTCTTACAAAAAGGCAAATGATTCCTATAACATTGCTGTTCATCATTATAAATAGGACCCCTTTTACTTGTTAAAAACAAGATGTGCACAAGGCCCTAAGTTAATTCCTTGGGATCACTTAGGATAGAGTATGTAGAATGTACAATCTTGTATTTTATATTATTCGATTATTATGTATTTGTACTATACATACAATTTCCAAACTGAGTAGATGGGCTTGCGTAATTAATACTTAATAGTGGGAATGCTATAAAATTTTAAACAAATTATTCTTTTTTTTTTTTTTGACTTTTCTTTTATTGCTTTACTGGAAGGAGTACAAATACAAACATGTAGAGTGCAAAACCTTGTATTTTGTATTATTTTAAATGTATTTACACTTACATAATTATATATTTATATTTGTACTCCTTCCAAACACCAAACTGAGCCAGATTAGTAGAAACATAGATCCATCAACTGCCAACTCCAACCATCAAAGTATTAATACAACAAGTTACCATTCATTTATTGGGTTTCATGCGGGTCATAAAAGTTAAAATCCAAATACCATATATCATATTTAATTATTTATAATTATGATTAATTTGTGTACATGTACATAAAATATACTCTTGTATGAATTAAAACAAAGGAATAGAATAATATCCATATATAGCTATATTTATTTTAGGAAAAAAACTATACTTTTATGATATAAGCTTCTCTGGTATCATAGTCCGACTCTTTGTT